CTTTGACTTTACTCTTGTTGTGTCACACTGGAAACATTTGGTGCATCATACACCTGATCTACACACTTCCTGTTTCTGTTCCAGGCATAGCTCTGTTACAGGATTATGTTGGCTATCTTTACTTTGAACACATGTGTGACGGTGGGAAGCCGCGGACAGTTAAAATGTGCCTCTACTACCAAAAAGAGGGAGGTAAGTGTCTTTGAATTAGATTTCCCTGCATGCTGTGTGCACTGGATGCACACTCCAAACGGGAAGATGTCAACTGCGTCGGTCTAAAACACTTAGTGCCAGGCAAGGGGCAGAACCCAGATGTAAACTTGATTGTCCTCTAATGGCTGGTTGCAGTGTAAATCAAAAACCACACCTCCTGCATGTTAGTAGATGGGACATGGACCAAACTGAAAAGTCAAAGTGCACAAAATAACATTGTCATGCCACTTCTCAGGTAAATTAGGTTTTAATATGATATTTGATGCTATGAAAAAGGGAAATGCAATAAAAGCAAAATTATAAAAATATTTCTTTAGGAGGGATTAGGGTAAAGAAGAGAAAGATTTCCTGAGGAACCCAGTAATGAGGATGATTGTTGAGGAGATGATGCTAATAAATGCATCTCAGTGTCTAACCCCAATGTATTTCTTTTCCTTGTCAGCACCGCGCAGCAAGCCTCAGGATATCACTGTTTTGGGTCAAACTCACAATTCCTCTATACTCTCCTGGAAAGCGATCGCCTCTGAGGACCAGCGAGGTTTTCTTACACACTACAGCCTGTGCAGTGTGAAAATGGGTTCACAGGATGAGCTGAGAGGTGTGAAAGACACAGTTTTAATCACCAGCTGAAACTGTTTGTTGAAAGGGTTTTGCAGAACCAGACAGACACAGATAAATTATTTGTGTACAACTTTTGATACCTATCTTTTAAATGACAAACTTTCACTTACATTGTGTGAGATGATGAAATTTGCCAATGACTTCAGATACATGAATTTCACTGTGATGCTTTTCATCATTTTGTTTCATCAGAGTGCCATAATATATCAGTCTCATTAAGAACATACCGTCTGGAAAACTTGACACCGGGAGCAAAATACAATATCAGCCTGGCCGGAGTGACCCGAGCGGGAACAGGACCCACAGCCACAGTCACTATTTACACGCTGCAAGAGAAACATGTGAATGGTATCAGACCTTTAGAATCAGCTCCCATGTTGAAGCAGCTTTGCAGTTTTTCCACATGCGGATACAAACTAATTTTCCCCGTCTTCCTTTTCTCCACCCAAATTAGTGTGGTTGAGTTTCGGCCTGCTGTTTGGGTTCTTCTTAACCTCGACAATGTGCACCGTTATCTTGAAGAGGTAGGTGACCGCCATACTTTTAATAATAATAATCTTACAAGCTACAGCACGAACTCCCTTTGTAGGGAAGGTGTGGACATTTTTTGTATCAAACCATGTGACAGGATAATATGAAAATGTTTGTAATCGTTTTCCATTTCTTAGTTTTTTATTTTTTGGTGGAACTGTTGAAACTCTTCTGTGACATATCACAGTAACATTAGCAATAAAATACAGCAAACAGACTGTCAAATCTGTATTTACCTTTAGCTGACTGCAGCTACCATAAACTTGTGGTGATGCCAGTAAACACTAGTAATGAATTGAGTAAGAGTGCATTTGATCGTGCGGCCGGCAGTTAGGCAGTTAGTTCAATTTGTGTTCATATCTAGATCAGGAGGCAGATCCAGGGTTTTGTTTTCCCCTTTCTTAAAAATGTTGAGATAGTTAAACATTGTCACAGATTTCCCCTGGAACAACTCATGTAAGTTGATATAAAAAAACATATTTAGGGGGCTGATGAGTGTGTGAAATTTGGTGCAGCTTGAATGAATTAATGGGACTGTTGGTAGCGGTATATGCTCTACTACTACTCCACTGAGTGCCATTCTAGTTCCCCCTGGATTGATCTTTTTTCACAGTTTCTACTCTGTTCTCATGCTCAGAATCCAAAACAAGATCTTTCCTCCTGTGCCGGCGCCTGTTATTCCAGAATTCTTACCCAATCAACTGAAGAGTCAGGTAAAAAAACATTTATAGAATTGACAACATATGTAATAAAAAATAGTGTTCTACGATTAAAAGAAGGATTTTTTTAATATATGTTTTAAGAAGTGATTTGAAAAATGTCACTGATTCTGCAAATTTTGTGACTGATGTGACAAAAAGTCTTTTTGCGATCTGCAATCAATTACAAGCACAAGTTGAGTAAAGTGAACTTTTCAGTGGCTCGATATGTTAACTTTAAATTTATTGAAATACTTCTAATATCTGAGGCATTAGAGTGATTTCAGAGCAAGAAACTAAAACAGTGACCTGTTCCATTGAGTTGTTGTATTGTTTATGGAGCAAGTCAAGAATTTGATAGCACAGCGCAGTTCAGTTTTGACCACTGATTCTTCCTGTCCTGTTTTAACGTGACCTAAATCAGGAAATGCTGGAGGGGAAAGAAGAGGTGCATAAGCTGATACTGCTGCAGCTGCATCCAGAGGGGAAGACTGTCCCTCAAGAAGCAGAGGAAACCGCCGCCCTCCGAGGAAAGTGGGGTTCTGGGAGTGACGAGGATGAGGATGTGGATGAAGGTGATTCGAGGATGTCAGAGGGAAGTGGAGATGAGATTCCTGGCTCTACAGATCAGAAGCAGAACAGCTCCAGAGTCAAAGAACTAACGGATCTAGAGCAGGTGGACAGTGAGATCGCCATGCTGATATACAGGAATGGTTTGGTCTTTGATGTAAAGACAGATTCACCTTAAAATGGATGAAGTGCAGATTCGACCTCATCCCAAGCACAAAATCTTTTACATATTTTTTTACCTTTACAGAAGACTGGAATAATGAATTCTGTTCAGTTTTGAAAGTTGCATCTTTTTAGTATAGTAAATAGTATTTCAAATATTTCATCTTTTCATGTAGCATTGGTTTTGCTGTTACGTCTTTGTATTGTGGAATAGTATTTTGCCAGTGATATGTTTCACAAAGAGACCAGTATGTGATATAAGCAGGGTTGACGAGTCAGACTTCGTCACTGCACGTTGTTAATAAACACTTTTGGTGGCGTGGTCTTGTTCAGACTATAGACTGGATTTACAGAAGGACGACTCATCACTTCATCCCACTATCCAAAGTGTCTTGGATATGAACGCTGCCATCTTGTGCAAATGACATCATTTGGAGCCAGAGACCAATCATGAGCACGTCTCAGCTGTCGATCATCACTCACTAGACCACCTGCCCGCTTGACCACCATGGGATCTCGAGCCTTCAGCCACTCTGCGCCCCGCCTCTGGAACTCCCTCCCCCCGACATCTTTAATATTGACTCTCTCCATTTTCAAATCCCGTCTCAAACCCCGTCTTTTTAAACTGGCATATTCAGTTTGATTGTTTTCCATTTGGCCAAACTACAGAATGTTTTATTCACTGTTTATTTTATTGATCTTTTAGATTTTTTTTTTGTTCTGTTTTTATCTCAGCCTTGTAAGTTGTCCTTGAGTGCTGTGAAAGGCGCCTATGATTTAAATGTATTATTATTATTATTTACTGTAAAGACTGTGGCCCATTGTCAGTGTAAAACGAAACATAAGATGAAGAAGCAGTGGATGTGAAGGCTGAGCAGCAAAAAAAGTGATCCTGTGGTGAGGTAATCATGTGACAGGAAGTGCTCGCGACAGAGAGATGATGGCCTTTAGAAAAGGTAGCTCATGCAAGGTGAAAAGACTTGGATTAGTCATAACCAGAGACCTCTGTGGGTTTCAAACTAGAGCATGTCAGGTTGATTTACTATAATTGATGACAGACTTAAATGTACTGCAGCAATGCATTTTAATTTCTCAGCAGAAAAACTGGTTGTATGGTTGATTTAGGCGTTAATTCAGCAGGAGTGTCACTTTTTAGTGTCACATACTTTATCTCTCACCACAGTGAGATCAATATCATGTGTCCCGACCACAGACAGCAGATAAAATCTGATGAATATGATTTGTGGCTAAAATACTATCTAGCGACACCACATTGCTTTGTCTGTGTGTATAAATACAGTACACACGTTTGTTCCACACAGAGCTTTTTTTTGTTAACAGTGCTAGATATATACAGTGTGTGCAACTGCAGATGAATGGATCTGGATCTGCACCAATATTTAATGGGTTGTTCCCTGACCCATTCCATACAGATTTTGTGGAAATCTGACCAGTTTTGTGAAATCTTGCCCACAAACAAATTGAAGGATGTGCAGAAAAGTGGGTCTGGACGTTCTGCGAAAGTTGCCTTTCACATGAACGATGCAGCAAGAGGTGATCTGCTCAGACGAGTTCTCGACAACACAGACATCTCCAGGGTGTTCAGATGAGGGTGCTGCAGGACGTCATGCATGAACTCTGCAGGGATCACGTGTTTTTATTTACAGCATCTCCTGCTGTGTCCTCCCATCGGCTCCTCAGGACTTTCTGCGGACTATATACTTATGGACTGGGTGGAGTAAGTCTGCAAAAAGGTGGGAGACTCTCACTCGAACGTTTGCATTCGCACATACAGCCTCTCGGGAGAATGTCAGGAGATTATCCAGAGTTCCACTGTATTTGTAGGATAATTCAGTTGTCATCTGGATAGTAAAATATGGATCACGTCTGTGTTCACGCATCTCTTCTCAGGTGAAGTCTTTTCAGCCAATCATGCTTGAGATGATGAATGTGACACCTTCACACAAGTTCCTACTGTCTCAATTTTGAAAATACGGCCTTGTGCCTTGAAAAGGTTGGTTTCTTTGCACTTTAGTCGCATCTGAATCTCGACACAGTTTAGAAACATCTGTATTGAGCCTCTCACTCCCATCGATACTGTGTCAGTGTACCTTCTTCTGATTTTAAGCTTCTGGTACAACACTTCAACATTTCCCACCTGCTGAAAACAACGTGGAGCCTCATTTCCGTTCGGGGACACATCGTTCAACCTCTAGCGGTTTGTTTGGGAACCAACACATCCATGATGGGAACTATTACAGGCCTGCACGTGTATTAATGGAACAGTGGCGCCTGTCAGTGGTCAGAGGCTGTCAGTACAGGGGGAGGACAGGTAGACAGGAGGTCATCACTGGACCTCAGGCTGCTGCTCTCCCTCGGTGCCTGGAACAACAGGCGGTCTCCACACTTTCCGAACACCATGAACGGATCAGCCGAGCTGCTGACCTCGTCTCCCCGCTCATGAAGATGCCCCATGCGGGCTGCTCTGTGCTAGAACATGGCGGAGTCGGACGGTGGGGACTTTGCTCCGAAGCATTCGCAGAGCAGGTGAGTGTCGCGGGGTGAGGACGTGCTGTGTCCGCGCTGTCGCGACTGGTCCCCTCGGTGTTAGCCCGAAGTGTCCGCGGCTCCGGGCACTGCAGCCTGGTCCCTGCCCGCTTGAGCGCCTCGACGCCCGGGCTGGACACTCAGGAATCACCGTGGTGTTGTCCGGGCCTCCGGGTCTCCCATGGATGATCAGCTGTGATGTTCATTTATCCAACAAACTCAGTGTGTTGTGTTGTAACAGCTTAATTTACCTTCATTCATTTACCATGTAGTAACATATTGCTTTTGTTTACTTTGGCTTCATGTATCATGAATGTACATGTGTGTTTATACACATGTAAATGCTTCATTCGATTGTCAAAGCAGTAGCTAATTACTCTCTTGATTAACTATTAATTGTTGCAGCTAAAATCAAGCAAATTTGGTTGAAAATATTACAAGTTGCAAGTTGTGAACAGAAATGATAAAGTTAAATGTGGACAGTTTGTTTACTTGTTTTTATGACTGATGCCATTTGGATTGAAATCTGATCCAACACATTGTCAGTCCTGTATGGAGCCTGGCCATGTCTTTTTCAACTGATAACACTGCTTCAGATTTTTGAGTCGTTTCACAGTATCAGTATCTTATTTTTTAGTCCCCACGGGACATATGCCACAGTAAGAGAAGCACTAAGAACTAATCGGTCAAATTAATTCAGCTCCATTCAGCCGCTTTAGTTTCAAGGTCCTGGTGTTATTCTTGCTGCCTCCCTGACCCAGTGTTCTGGCCACTCTTATCAGCATCAAACACCTGTGGTTTTCCCACCAAGTCAAAGTGTCTGCTGTGAAAAAGGGGAAACTTTGACCAACCATACAGCAGAGAGTGGGATATGGTGCAGTTCAAAAGTGTTTAGTTCTGCTACCACATTGCTTGTAATGACTTTCTCACACTGTGCGAATTTCCTCTTGTCATTTGGAGCCTCCTGATCACGACACACCCTGACACCAGGAGGCTCTTAGCCGTGTTCTTACAGTAAAGGTGTCAGGAGATGAACCATTCAAGATTTCCTTTTCTGTAAAAATGCATAAACCCAGACGAAACCCTTCTAAGACTATAACGCTTAATATTACAGGCTCACTCTGAGCAGGGACCATCACCTGCGCTCGGGCATAAAATTGGATATGAAAATGTTGGATTCAAACACCGGGATCACTCCCTTACACTCGTGGCGTGTAGAGAAGATGCATTTTGGTTGTTTGTTCAAACTGCTTGCTATGTAATTAGAAGCCATTTTTGGGGACAATTTTAACAAACCTGGTCATCTATCTTATATACAGCCTGTGATATGAACCTGTATGACAGCAATGTTTCCACCTGTCGTGATCATGCGTCTTACTGGCCATTGATGACAAGCAATGAGGTGTATATGGCATTTCTCCTCCTAGCGATGTTGCTTCTATTTAGTTTTTCAGATTGGATACTTTGATTCCCAGCTTGTGACGTGGCCTGTATTTCCTCTTCTAGTATGGCAAACAAGAATAGCACCCTGCGCTGTACCTTCTCGGCCCCAAGCCACAGCTCCATCCTCCTGCAGGGCTTGTCGTTTTTGCGGGCTCAGGGCCAGCTGCTTGACGTCGTGCTGGCCATCAACGAGGAACGCTTCCAGGTCCACAAAGCTGTGCTGGCTGCCTGTAGTGATTATTTCAGGTAAGTGGAACCATAAAGACTGTTCACTGCCCTTTTACATTTTAAATTGGAGGCACTTAGCGGATGCTCTTACCTGGAGTAATTTATCCTGAGTGCCTCTGTTAGGGCAAGCTGCAGTTAAAAGATCAAGTATGTTCAAAGCAATTCAGTAGTGGAGAAGTAAAGGTTTGAGGAAATGTGAAACAAAATGCAAAATCATTACTAAAATCATTATGCTTATTTTCTGTCATTTTGTCTTTGATTTGAGCCATAGAGTTCATATTTATACAGTTCCTGCTGAAATTGTAGAACGATGTATTACAGACATGGAAAGTCCAAAAATTTGGAAATTAGGAATTATTTAATATAAATTAAATACAAATATGGCCAAATGTGTAATCATTAAATATAAATTAAACACAAATGTGGCCAAATGTGTAATCATTAAATCATGTGCTATTTGGTTTGTGCAAATAATTTTTTTTCTTCAAACATTTTTCAGTTCATCTGCAATTAACACCAGACTGTAAACAAAACAATCCACTAGGATGAATGTTAGTCATGAAGTTGGGGAAATTACCTCAACTCATTGAATTGAAATATAATCATAAAACAGTCATGTTTTCTCTCTTTGTGCTTCAGAGCAATGTTTACTGGCGGCATGAGGGAGTCAAACCAAGATACCATTGAGCTGAGGGGCTTGTCCGCCCGTGGGTTGAAACACATTATCGACTTTGCCTACAGTTCTGAAGTCACTTTAGACCTGGACTGTATTCAGGATGTACTCGGAGCTGCTGTGTTTCTCCAGATGGTCCCGGTTGTGGAGCTGTGCGAAGAGTTCCTCAAGTCAGCGATGAGCGTGGAGACCTGCCTGCACATCGGCCAGATGGCCACCACCTTCAGTCTGTCTTCCTTAAAGGAGTCGGTGGATGCCTTCACTTTCCGTCACTTCCTCCAGATTGCTGAGGAGGAGGACTTTCTGCACATTCCCATGGAGCGCCTCGTCTTCTTCCTGCAGAGCAACAAACTGAAGAACTGCAGCGAGATCGATCTCTTCCACGCCACCATCAGGTGGCTCCGGTACGACAAGTCTCGTCGGGCTCAAGCCAGCAGTGTCCTCTGCCATGTGCGCTTCCCGTTAATGCGCTCCTCAGAGTTGGTGGACAGTGTTCAGACAGTGGACATCATGGTGGAGGAAGTGCTGTGCCGCCAGTATCTCCTTGAGGCCTTCAATTACCAGATCCTTCCTTTCAGACAGCACGAGATGAAATCCTCGCGGACACTCATTCGTTCTGATGTCATGTCACTCATCACCTTTGGGGGGACACCCTACACTGACAACGACCGCACAGTCAGCACCAAGGTGTTCTGTCTCCCTGACATCACTTCTCGCCAGTTCAAAGAGCTGACAGAGATGGAGACCGGGTGCAGCCACGCTTGTGTCGCTGTACTCGATAACTTTGTGTACGTTGTCGGTGGACAGCACTTACAGTACCGCAGCGGCGAGGGCGCAGTGGACAGCTGTTTCCGCTATGACCCACACCTGAGCCAGTGGCTGCGCATCCAATCCATGCAGGAGGGTCGTATTCAGTTTCAGCTCAACGTGCTGCATGGACAGCTGTATGCCACTGGAGGGCGCAATAGATCTGGCAGTCTGTCATCTGTGGAGTGTTACTGCCCAAAGAAGAATGAGTGGACTTACGTGGAACCATTAAAACGCAGGATTTGGGGTCATGCAGGGACTTCGTGTGGAGAGAAGCTGTATATCTCAGGGGGTTATGGCGTCTCGCTGGATGACAAGAAAACGCTTCACTGCTATGATCCAGTGTCAGACCAGTGGGACTTCAGAGCTCCCATGAATGAACCCAGAGTGTTGCACGCCATGATCAGCATCAGGGATCGGGTTTATGCTCTGGGTGGCCGCATGGACCACGTGGATCGTTGTTTTGACGTGCTGACCGTCGAGTATTACATTCCAGAGAACGACCAGTGGACCACTGTCAGCCCCATGAGAGCCGGGCAGTCCGAGGCAGGCTGCTGCTTACTGGACAAGAGGATCTACATCGTGGGAGGATACAACTGGCACCTGAACAACGTCACAAGCATCGTGCAGGTGTACAACACGGAGACAGATGAGTGGGAGAGGGATTTGCACTTCCCAGAATCGTTTGCTGGCATCGCTTGTACACCGATTATACTTCCACAAAACACCACACAACGCTAACCTGCGACTGTGAAGACTTTATTCCATGTGCTCTGTCTGCCGAGCATTGTGTCATCACAAGGTGTGAACGTAATTTAAGCAACTGGTGTGCGTTAAAAGGACCTTTAAAGCTTCTAAGCAGCACTACACAGAGTGACATATTATTTTCTCTTCTAGTTATGGGTAAGATGTGTCTGATTAAACTTCAGAGACGAAAACTCTTGGATTTTTACATTGGGACACTTCTGTGAACCAGGTTTAGAAATATAAAATTGGACAGTTTATCAGCATTGACAGACACATTTTATCACGTTTCGGTGGAAAAGCCTATAGTAAGATGAGTATTTTTTGTCTGAATTCAGTACCTGACTGATTAATATATTATCTGCCAGTTACATTTTAAGTCAGTCATAATATATAATTAATATACTGTGTAATCAGTATTTTTTGATAATATCTAATCAGTCTTTGATAGTTTGTACCTTTGGAAAATATACACTTGCACATGAACTGGAAAGATATAGCTGTAGCTAATCTTCCAGAATAGCGTCATTATAACACTTTATATCACAAAAATCTTAATCATAGTTTCCATAATTGTCACAAAGGCACAAATAGATTTCTTGTTTTGTTCTATCATTCTATCAGATTAATGTGACTTGGAAATCTTGGAATTTCTTTATTTGAGTCATGAGATAAAATTTGCTGTGCAAACACTCAATCTTTTTAATGTTGGACATTTTGACTGTACAGTTGTGATTTTTCTTTTTATTATTCAAACAAACAAGACAACTGATGTTTCTGCTCAAATATCTAATCACCAAACCACATATCAATGCACAGAATCGATAAACACAAGTAGTGTGTAAGTTCACATCTCAACTGATAAATTCTACTTTATATTGTTAATGTTTGTTTCTGTTTGTTTGTCTTTGATTGCTACTTATAACACGCCCCACCCCCAGCCACCGACACACTTCCTGTTCTGTCACTCAAAGTAATAAACTACTGTAGGCAGCTGCATAATATAGTAATAATTTCAGTGTGTGCTGTTGTAATCCACTCAGTACATTTAATTGAACGTTGATCTTGCAGGACACAATTGTCTTGTAACATCTCGCACAAGTCTCTAACTTACATGCTCAATATTTCCATTCATGAGAGTTGATACAGGCTCGAGTTTTTATACACTGTTGCACTTTTTCCGAGCAGTATTTATGAGACATCTGATTTTAATGTGTGTATAAGGAAGAATCAAGCTTAAAAGGTTTTGTTATTTTGTTTTTTTTAAATGTGACCATATGACAGTGAGTGTCTCCTGTTTGCCTTAGTGTGTCTTTGTCCTGCTCTGCCTGTACCAATAAAAGCACATTATATTGTTGAGGTGCAATATAAAGGAAACCGCTGTATGCAAAGGGGAATGTAGACACTTGTGTAGCTTGATCTGCATCCTTTATTAAAGATGTATCATGTTTTAAAAATACCCCTCAGGTGTTTTTTGTTTTTCTATTTTGATGATATGATGATTCATTTCCACAATAAGATACTGCCTTGCATTATTAAATGTTATTATTAAAATGTATTATTTATTAAAATGTTTGTGCCCACACATTTCCCATAGACACAAGAAACAGCTGTTATAAGTTATGCTTCCTGTCATTGGGGCTGCAACAATGTTAATATAAATATAAATTATTTATGATTAATAATTTGGCCGGAATACTAGAATACAAAATAGCAGTTACAATTCCCAAATGACAAATTGATGGCTTGAAATGTCTTTTGTGAAATTAACTTTCAAAACTTCCCTCGACATCTGCAGTACACACCTGTACAGTACATTTATTTGGTCCTATTTGTCACTAAGTTTCATGGCATGGACCTTAACCACCAGAAAACCAGGATTCTGCGATTGTACCAATTTAATTAAATTCAGGAATGGGGATTTGATCTGAATTCATGTGCTTTCCAATGTTCTTTCAAAGAACAATATAATGTAACAAGAAAATCTATCATATGCATAAACCACACTCCTAGAGGCCCACAGACCCTCAGGCTCACTACATATCATTTCGGTTTTCCACAATTATATGTTTAATATACAAAGATATGCCCAATTAACATACAAAATCCTCATCCGGTGGTCCTGGTCTTTTTGAGGGACCCAGTGTCTAAATCTTTCTTTTAGATCTGAACAGTTTCTGGGTTTCATCAAATTGCTTTCATCGTTTTGTATGTGTGTGTGTGTGTGTAGTAATGAATACACACAATCTGGGGCAAGGTCATATTATAGCATATGGGTACTGCAATACACCCTAATACGATTGTCTTTAATCATTGATTGATTGTTTAGTATATAAATTATCAAGTGAGAAATGATCCTGTCATTATTACCAGATTATTGTTATGCACTTTTCACAGACCTTTACAGAGAGACTGCAGCTCATCCAGAACTCTGCTGCTCAGCTGTAAACCAGAACCAAGAGGAGAGAACACATTAGTTCTTGTTGAGGTTCTCCTCCTTACACACAGAGTGGAGGATGATTATATCGTTAATTCAGAAAAACTGAATGGACTTATTTTTATTTTTTTTGAATGAAAATTATCTTGTTGATTCAGAAAAACTGAATTGATTATATATATATATAAGGGAAATTATCTCGTTATTTCAGAAAGAGCTTCATGGTCACTGTCTACAGCTGCAGGAGCAACAACAACAACACCTCCTCCACCACCTCCTCCTCCGACTGTGCGTGATGACGACAGCACTCGGCCGCGGCGTGGTGCGTAACGTAACATTCCATTGAGAAGAAGAGGGAAAGATGGCGTCCTCTAACAATCCTCGCAAATTTAGCGAAAAAATCGCTCTGCACAACCAGAAGCAGGCGGAGGAGACCGCGGCGTTCGAGGAGGTCATGAAGGAGCTGAACATCACCAGAGCTGCCCGGGTGAGAGCAGCACACACCGCCCGTAGCGTCGCTGTTTGTCTGCTTTTTGTGTGTTTTCCTCTCGCGGCTAACGAACGCTGCGGAGATCAAGCTGACCGTCGGGATGCTAAAGTAGCTAAAGTTGTCCTCCTCGTTAGCCGCATACACGAATTAACGTCTTCACTCCGCCTGGGGTGATTTAGCCGCGGCCTCGATCGCGGTACAGCCGACGTGTGGTTGACCAGCGTTATCCAGGCTGAGGAGCGTGCACCTGCACCGCCGGTCACCGCGAGCTGTCATTAGCGCGCACCTCGGAAAACGCCAGCATCCCAACATGTCAGGAGAAGAGGCGGCAGCTGGAGGAGTTGTCTCCGGGAGGATCACATGTTGTCGCCTGTGATTTTTCTCCCCCTCCCCACGTTAACCAGCCGCGGTTAGCTGAACCTCTGCAGCCTGTTAGCCATGTGCTAACCAGAAGCTCACTCCAGACTTTCACTGAATGAAGGTTGAGCTGTAAATACACCACACTTGAGTCTTCTCAGCTCTAACAGGGGCTGTAGTTGGTTTATATTAACGTCAAGTCGATGGAACTTTGACAACTTCATCGCGACAATGGTGCAACCTCTTTATATACAGTCTATGGGTGCAACTCAATATTGTTTTTATCAGGTGGAAAAAATAAATAATAATAGAAAATTAGGAGGAAAATGTCTGTTTTATTTTTCCACAGTTCAAAACAATGTCTTCAAATGTATTTCATCAACCATCAGTTCAAAACTGCTAAATATGCCAGATACAAATATGAAATACTCACCCTTTGGAAAATAACTACAACATTTGTACTGTTATCAAAATGGCTACTAATAGAATATCTGTTACTTGACTGATCGCTGATAGTTGCGGCTTGATTATCGATTAACCTGCTGATTATTATCCAAAGCGTTTGGGTTTACAGCTGAAATGATTAGTTGTCTGACTATTATTATAATTATTATTGATAGGAATTAAATTATGAGTCTTAATTCATCATTGAACCAGTGCTGGACGATTATGACCAAAAGTTATCATTCGATTATTGATGTAAAATTATTATTTCTTTAGATACATTTTTTTTGAGCAGAGAATGACAAGTGTGTGTGTGTGTGTGTGTGTGTTATACCATATGATATAATATGTAATATACCAACTCGCGCTTTGTCAGTATAAATTGAATCCTGTATTATTGCTTGATAATAATTCTATTGCGATGATCACATACATATGTATTATTGTCCAGCCCTGCAATGAAAAAGTTTTAATACAAAAACCCAAAATTTCAGACATTGGTTTGTGAGGATTTACTGTTTTGTTGTTATTTATATAAATGTTTATAATTTCATCATATAAGATTTTTTCATCACATTTCATAGATTAAACAAGTGATTCATAATTTTCAGAAATAGTGAAAGTACACATTATAATTTATTTTGTTAACGTAATAATTTGATTATTATCCAATAGAAGTTAACAATCATACAACAGAGTGATGATGCAAATCTTAGTATTTTAGAAGATTGGATTTTCATTGAACAACCAGTCATCAAAATCTCAAGTTTCAGTCAATCAATTAATTAAGGAGTTGTTCTGTCTGAATTTACCAAAAATTGAACCATACTGTTACCGGGAAATGTTTGGGCTAATTGTCGGCCCTGTTTCTGGAAATGATGCCCACTAACCACACGCTGCGTCAGTGTGAACCTGAGCTGTACTGTCATTTACTGCATGGACAAGAATTCAATCAACTTCTCAGATTTGTGGTCTGTGCCTGATTTCTTTGTGTTGCCATCAGACCATCACATTTATTGACATCAATCTCACTGCAGTTCGTTCTTGGTACAGGAGGCCTTCCATCAGTGTTTTTCGTAATAACATACATGACTTTTGTGAGTTTTCTTTTTTCGTATTCTGACATGTGGCTGATGTAATAGCCAGATGTGTTACATGGAAAATCTGATTGTAATTACACCAGCTGTCTGTCAGGTGTCATTCAAATCAGCTGATGTGATTTTTAAAGATGTCTTCTGCCTCTTTGGTGACTCATGAACATCAGCCTGTCTCATCATCATCATCATCATCATCATCATCATTTCATGTGTCATTTAATGGATTCATTATCTCACCACTGTGGACTGACAGGCATCATTCGTTCTTAGTATCACCTTTTTTTGTGACTCGATCAATCATTCACTCATGCTTTCATGCAATTTTACTTTGCACAGTTGCAGTTACAGAAGACCCAGTATTTGCAACTAGGGCAGAATCGTGGACAGTACTATGGAGGCTCACTGCCCAATGTCAATCAGATTGGAAATGGCAACATTGACCTGCCTTTTCAGGTGAGCCCTTAGCCTCTCGGCTGGTAAATCACAGGTTTGTTCTCGACCAGTGTACCTTTCCTAGCTGTTGCTGATGATATTGGACATGCAAAGGTTGCAGTTATGCAGTTATGTGTAGTGTTGGTGAAAGATTGGCTCAAAACAGTGAATTTTAGAGTCTACAGGATCAGCTTAGGTAATGAGGGCAGCAAAGTGTTTGACCAGGTTTTGTCTTGGTTCAGGAATGGAAGAAAGTAAGAAGTGCACAACAAGATATACAAGTTCTACTTTGAAGTGTAATTTGGTTCCTAAATTTTTAAGTATATCATTGCTTGTCATGGCTTTCCATCTTTAAATACATTTGCCAACTCAAGCACCAGTATGGGGGGCCCATGGCTTGACTCATTTTGAAATGAACACATTTACACCATTAATCCTAAAACATTATCGTAAGACGTAGTTTTGCTGTGTAGGTAAGTGGGTTTTCCTCGCTTCATTCACCTGGTGTGTTCACTCTAGAACTCGGTGCTGGATACCAGTCGAACAACCAGGCACCACGGGCTGGTGGAGCGCGTTTACCGTGACCGGAACCGCATCACATCTCCTCACCGCCGGCCGCTGTCAGTCGACAAACATGGACGCCAAATATCCTTTGCTTGAGGATGTTTTGACTTTATTTGTAATTGCTTTGTTTTTAGAGGGTGTTTTTATCACACTAGGATTTACACCTTGTCTTGTTTTGGTCTGCCTTCGGTAACAGACACTTGGAGACACTAAGATGTGCAAGTTAAGTTGTTTTATTTATACATTACCGCAGACTTGATCTTGTCTAATTAACGCTATTTAATCGGATACACTTGTCTCCTTGTTGCTGTTATTTATTTGGAATCCAAAATGTTCACAGACACAAATACATTGCAACTTGAATTTTCGCTGCATTATTTTACAATTGTTATAATGGATATTCTTGAAAATGAATTTTAACTTTAGTCAAATATGTGTGCGTCTTCAAGCTCGAGTTTTTATTCTTAGTTTAGCCAACAGAAGTAAGTAAGGAGTATAATTGCAATGCATTAGAAGAGTAACTGGAATTATTGGCTTATTTTGGTAAATGAGATATAAATAAAAACAATAAAGCTTTCAGACCTTAGAGTGAATCAGTGGATATTTGCCTGATTTGTTGAGTGTGATTTCTCTGCATTATACGTATGTCTAACACATGATGTGGTGTATAGTGAGCTCTCATCTCCGTGAGGTGAATTTGAGAGTGTGGTATCCAATGCGACAATATGAGACTGTCCATTGTTTGTCTCTTGTTGACAAGATTATTCTTAGAAATATGTTCCACCATTAGATAACAAGACACCGACTCAAGCCCTTTTCAAGGTAATTAGATCCCAGCAACTATTGTGTGTATGTATGAGGTCTATCAGGTTGAATCAGCCAACAGGCATGGATGTATGAATTAGCGCAGATCCATGTTTTATCCCATCTACTTTATTAGCCTTAACTAAATTCACATTGACAGCTGTCCTTACAGCTCAGTTTACCTCTCACCACCGCCAGACACTAGCTGGAGAAGGTAAGCAACTCCCATTTGTCATTTTTCACAAAGTGATAAATAGTTCAAAACAAAACGGTTAAATTGCAAAACACTACATCTGTGTTGTCACAAAACCTCCTCATTCAACCAGAACAAAGTAGGCCCTACGTATGCCAGATGAAGTGATTCTTAATGTGCTCGGTGCTGAGGAATTGCTTGCAGATTTCGCTGATGTCTCATCTTTCTCACACATGCAGGACAAATTCAGACTCTGCCTTACACCAGAGCGCCATGAATCCGAAGCCCCAGGAGGTGTTTGCAGGGGGATCACAGGAGCTGCAGCCTAAACGAGGTAACACAAGCTCCAGATCCAGTGACATTGACAAACGACACGAAAGGGTTGATGTCACATAAAAGAATGGATCCCTGCTCTTGGTGAAATATTTATGGAGTGAACATATACTGATCTCGGGCCTGGAACTGCCCCGGCATGCAGTGTAGCATACAGTCGGCGGCTGGCTGTAGAGTAAAGTGCGTCTCTGAATGAAGCTGACTCACGATAATCTAGAGAGGTGGATCAATAATTCTCTGATTATCCATGGATTAAGTCTTTTTATGTGCAAAGCTCTGCTATAATGAAGCCAAGATTGCCTGGCATCCACTCAAACCGTCTGGTGGTCACCTTGCTATTTTTAGAGACTTGGGAATCTAGTGCACAGCACTTTATTTTGCATGACTGGGCAGGATATTGATGACTCATTTCTTGCACTGATTTGAATTGTTATGTATTTTGTCTTAGCAAGCAACTGTGTCTTGCTGTTTCACTAATTAGTACTGCTGCTAACAGTGCCCGGGATGGACGACTCAGAGTCGAATGCCGTCAAAGATGCACAGAAACAGTTGTGGAATGACAAGAAGGTACTGATGGGAGAGGGAAGGGCTGCAAGGTTTTACACTTTGTTGAGATTCAAGAATCGTGGCTGATGAATTCTTTCTCTCCTCAGGATGATGGGTCAAAGCCCAACACATGTGATGTCCCTGGAATCAAGTGAGTGGCACAAGTAAATTGTGTTCTTATTCTTTGCTGTGAAACACTATCAGAATCAGAAATACTTTATTCATTCCTGGAGGGAAATTCCAAAAGGCACATAGCTCCTGAGCAAGCGATGAAGAGGCAGGTATAGCAGTAAGAGTAAGGGCTAAGCAAAAAATGCAGTAAAAGTATCGGAGTATTGCAGCCATCACACAGCCATAAATAAGTCATGCTGTAAGTGCACTGATACAAGACAGCTTGTCGAGGAAACATGCTGGGAAGGCACTTTAACATGTTGCCTCTAGTCTAAGAGGAAATGATTGTGGTAAGGCACTGGTCCTAATAAAAAGCAGAAAGATGTTTATAGTGTTTTGAATCGTATATTTATTATGTTTTATGTTTTATTTAGCATATGTAATGTGTTCTATGTCAGAAACACACTGGTCTGTGACTGATACATAATACGTCAACCAGGTGTTCACCCAAAGACTCCCATTAAGTACACACATATATTTGATGTATTCTAATGATTACGAGTCATCTGTTATTTTTCAGCACCATTAAAAAGAAGGTTAAATAAAGGTCTCTACAATCGCCAGTCCAAAACTTCAGATAACAGGAAACAGAAATGTCACTTGAATTACCAAACAGGCTGATACTAAACAATAGCATAGCATTTTGAAGAAATGGCCAGATCTAAAGATGTTACTCAATCTTATATTGAAGCATCAGTGTCTGTAGTTACTCATATTGGCATCTGTGTTCGTTGGTCAAAATCTAGCTGCTCGTATTTTTGAAAAATCAAAAAGGTCTCCTCGTGACTGATGAAACTTTTTTTTTTTTTTTTTTTTAGTATATTCCCATCACCAGACCAGGAATTGAACCCGTCTGTGCTCCCAGCTGCACACAACACCGGCGGTTCGCTGCCTGACCTGACCAACATCCAGTTCCCTCCTCCACTGTCCACTCCGCTGGACCCCGAGGACACTGTGGCCTTCCCCTCCCTCAGCTCGTCCAACAGCACGGGCAGCCTGACCACCAACCTCACCCACCTGGGCATCAGCGCAGCAAGTCACGGTAACAGCTGTTAATTCACTCTCATTATGTGGGGAGCTTGAGTTGATGTTAAAGAGTAAAATGGTTTATATATTTTTTTTACTTTACAATAATTTATTATGAACATGATGCATTTTCAGTAAAAAAAAACAAAAAAAAAACAGGATGCTATTCTACGCTCAAATCTACCACCTCCAGGGAAAGCACATGCAGTGTTGGCACGATCACTGTGTCTGGATCAGCAGGCTATTGGCTGCTTTTCATCATTTCTGATGGTTTGTTCTTTCTGAGCCGATAATCAGTTTGCCTCTGTCTCTCGTATTTAAAAAAACCCAAAGGACAAAAGGAGAGTCATTTTGTATTGGTTTTCATCCAATATTTATTAATTTTGACTTTATACAGAGACTTACTTGATTAATAAATTAATTAAATTGAATTGCATTCAAACACACTCATAGTGTCTGTTGACCTTCGCAGGGATCCCCACCTCCTCTCAGCCCACCATGACTGTAACGGCACAGCGCCGGCAACCTCCTGTGGTGCCGCTCACCCTCACCTCAGACCTCCATCTCCAACAGTCACCACAGCAGTTCTCACCCACCCTGTCCTCACCGGTCAACATCACACAGGTAAGGATCGATGGTGTTTTTACAATAGTGGAATAGTCAAACCCAGGGACAAAGCACAATCTTTATCCATCTTTCCTCAGACCATACCAACAGAGTCATTGACCCTGGAGCAGCTTGCCCAGTATCCCCTGTTCAACCAGTTGACGGCTCAGGCCCAGGTTCAGCTGCTCAGCGACCTGCAGAAGCAGCAGCAAGCCCTGTCGCAGGGCATCCAGCTCATCACTTTCCCTTCTCCAGCCTCCACTGGCACCGCCACTGCCAGCAGCCCCTCCCCAGACAGCCAGAGCCAGACAACCGCCAGCATCAGCATCAGCTCGGTAAGAAGCCGCCAAGTCGAGTCAGAGAGAGGAAGCAGAGATAACAGTTAGCCTGATGAAATGACTGGCACCATTTTGCTTATTTTTAAGCTTCTATTCATTTTGTTACTTTATTGTTCAGCCCAGAATACAGCCTGGTAAATACATTCACGCATTAATTTGTCATTTCTTTGAATAACTCACCTCAGGAGCAACTCATCTCTTCTCTTGACTTGACCTTTAATTCTATTAGTTGTGTGATTTCAGGAAGATGCTTGCAGGTCTTTTAAACATGAATAAGTCTCGCCATCCGGCACTTAATATCATTTTCTCAACTTTTATGAGGTGAAGGCATTTTCAAATGAAGTTTGAATCTATGTGTACTGTTAAAGCATGAGATTGACTGATAGAAGCTTAGAAGAAACACAAATACAAATGTATTAAATACAAGTACAACCATATACTGTGGCCCCGTTCAGACCTGGTATCTAAAGTGTGTTTACCAAGTCTTTACAGTGTGTGTGTGTGTGTGTGTGTGTGTGTGTGTGTGTGTGTGTGTGTGTGTGTGTGTGTGTGTGTGTGTGTGTGTGTGTGTGTGTGTGTGTGNTGTGTGTGTGTGTGTGTGTGTGTGTGTGTGTGTGCGTTACCAATTTCTGAAAATTCGTGTTGATCAACGTTTGGATACTGAGAAGCGTAAAATACGTTTAAACTGTAGTGGGTCAGAGACGTCAGCTAAGTTGGTGGTCCTTCACTGTTTGGCCCAGGAATGTGGCCACATGGGTCCCAGACCTGAGTGATCGTATCTCAGAACACATTTGGGTGTGCTCAGGCCTGAACATGGCGGTGACCACTTGTGATCAGGTTACTCAGGACGGATGTTAATACAAGGTCTGAACGGGGTCTGTAATACAACAGATCAACAGATGTTACTGTTGTATTTTCCAGATGTGTCGACAAACTAGCCAGCCACAGATGTCCCACACGATATCTGGTGGCGATATTTCCCACCTACACTTAAACACACACTACGTACCGAGCAAATTCATCACTGACGCCCTCTCACAACCCATCCCAGATTTGTGTGTGACAGGCATGAAGCTTAGTGCTAGCTAACCCTCTTCCCTCCAACAGTACCGCAATCAGACTGGCTCACCAGCCACTCAGTCTCCAACCTCCCCAGTCTCCAATCAAGGCTTCTCCCCCGGCGGCTCACCTCAAGTAAGGGCCCACCCACCGAGCTAGCTGCTGTTTGGGGAAGGGCTTTGCACCTGGGGGAAAGCTAATCGTAGATGAGTTAGGCTGCTTTTTTTCATTCTCTGTATCAGCAGTTAACCGCTCATGGTGTCAGCACCTGCATAACTCATATCTTCATCACCACTGTCGCTCTTCATTCTCTGCATGACAACACGGCCATAGTTTGTTGATGGAGGCCCCGACTGTGTTTCTGAGAATAAAGGTTTTTAGGTTTGAGCTACATATGATTGAAACCATGTTCCATGAATTAAGGAGATGCTAAGAACCCTTTGTCACTATAAACGCACCACGAGTCAGTGACTTAGAGGCAGACTTTAGGTACAAGCTAAAGAAAGGTCAGTTTGAACAAAAGTAGTTAATACTTCCAAACTTATTTAAGCACCTCAAAGAGAGACTCCAGTATCTGTTCACATACTTCAGGGTGAGTGGGTTTCAGTTGTTAATTTAAGCAATACATTGTCGAAATGGTCATATCCTCAAAATGTTACTGTGAGTTTACTTTAAATTGTGGAAATTCACTTTAGGATGAATAAAAAGTTCTCATTGAACCAACACTTGCTGACACAGCAACATCTAAGAAGAACCAATAATCCATCTGTTGAGGACAGCAATACTCTCCCTGTGACATGTTAAAGTCTCATCTTGAATATGAGACAACATCTGCTTTTTCAAACCAGATTAACAGGAATAAATATCCTTTCTGCTGGCCAGTGTGGTACATGAGCTCTCTTTTGTTTGTTTCAATTTTCAACAATTTCTTTTCTGTTTTCTTGCCCACACGCACCCTCACAGTAATCCTCCCTCGTATTTTGGGTCACTGGAGTGCCACTCTTTGCATCACTTTGCATCTGTTATTTACACAAACACAAATCGCTATCGCTGCCTCCTTTGGAGAAGAGCCATCGGAGCTTTATTCAATCTTCAATAAAACATTCGTCAGGAAGCTGCATGTGTTTTCATAATGCACTTGGTCTGTAGTGTTTTTCAAGGTGTAAAGCCATTTCATGGCTGAAGGCCACAGCAAGAAAAGCAGTTACTCTGTCAAAAGCTGAAATAAGTCGGGGAAAAAAACAACAAAAAACTGACATTTTAGTTAATGTGAGAAATGGCTGACTTTGGAATATGAAGAGGAGAGACTCGAAAAGGGAGAAAGTACAGTTTATCGATGTGGATCAAATCAAACCAACTAAATTCTGATATTAGATATTGATCTCAGTTCAACTCATTTGCATCAGTAATGTTGAAAATGTTCGACCGGGGCTCCACCACTAAAGACAGCCAATCACAGTGTTGACTCTGTTCAGTGGCACTTTTCTCATTGCAAGAATATTCTGAAGGGAAAGTTTGGTGTTTATCCACCTGCTGGTTTTCTCATAGTTTACTCAGCTCTTTGATTGTAGAGATGTGGGACACAGGCTTTGGCCAGACTGACGCTGGGTGGGGAAAAGTCCCAGAAGCTTTTTCAAGAAAACTTCTACAGAATCTTCGACTCTCAAAGACTTTGTCTTTTAACCCAAGTAAAGATAAACGTCCTTAGAAATATATAGTATAACGTAGCAAAGCCACATGCTGACCATGAGGCGGAGGGAAGTGTTTGAGATGATCATTGTGGTCCTCATCCTGATCAAACTTGCTCTCATCACCCAAATCTCTACAACCAAAGAAAGTCAAACATGAGAATATCCCTCAGGTCGACAAATAGAAGAATTTCCCTTCAGCATGTTGATCTGTGTTTTCCGTCATGAACAGGGCTGCCGTGGTCAGTGTATCACTGCAGTTGTGTGTCCTGACCACGGGGTCGGGACACACAACCACGTCATGTTCATACTCACATTCCACACCATTCTAAGTTGTATTTTGGGGCTTTTTGCCTTATTTGCAGGGGGGGGGGGTGACATGCAGCATAGGGCAGCAAGTCGGAATCGAACTCGGGCTGATGTAAAGAGGCTTGAAGCCTCGGTATGTGGGGCGCCAAATCTACCAGGTGAGCTATGCGGTGCCCCCACACCTTCATGAAATAGAAATAATTCGGTGTGAGTGTGGTGAATATAAACATCAAACAAAGAAAACAAAACTTACTTTTTTACTCTTTCAAATGTTTCTTTCACCTCTTTTTTAACTCTGGACCACGACAGCTCTTGTCACAAAAACCATTTGCTTTGGTCACTGCTCAGTCTGACAGTTGTGCTACTTTGTGTTTTGCTTGTGTTTTCTGTTCGTCCATCGCTGCAGTTTCTGCTTGTGGGCCCAGATTAACCGGCCTTGTGGCTGATGTAGCTTTTCCTGTTGTTTGTTTTAATTGGAGCTGCTTTCTTCCTCTCTGTTCTGAATTCTGTCACCTCCTTGTTCTCTCCAGCACATCCCTGTAGTGGGCAGTATATTTGGCGACTCCTTCTATGATCAGCAGTTGACATCGAGGCAGACCAATGCACTTTCTCACCAGGTGACACAGAACACACAAACAATAGCCAGAGAACACATTGTCTTTGTCAAGCCCCTAACTTTACACCACGTTTGCTCTTCACTGGTTTGTAGCTGGAGCAGTTCAACATGATCGAGAACCCCATCAGCTCCGCCAGCCTTTACAACCAGTGCTCCACCCTCAACTACACACAGGCGGCCATGATGGGCCTCACTGGCAGCAGCCTGCAGGACTCTCAGCAGCTCGGCTACAGTAGCCACAGCAACATCCCCAATATCATCCTCACAGGTACATGCCAAAACATTACATCCACTTTTACCTTATTCCACTTGTACTGAGTTTGACTGTGAGCTCATGTAGATACTGTAAACTCATCAGAAGGTTATAGTAACAGTAATATTAATAACATCTTGGATTTTTCTGGTGCCTTTCAAAGTGCACAAGGCTGCTTAACAAGGTAAGGAAAACAAAGAAGGGAATAATAAGTTAAAGATAAAACAAACCAAAAACAGAAAATAACAATGCTTGCAGGAGAAAATGAGTCTACTGGTCAAAAGAGTTTAAGTGTCCAAACCCACAAGCGCTTTTAATTCAGTTCCAGCCGTGTACTTGTCAACCTGTCTCGTCTTCCTCAGACGCCAGTTCCAGCATTTTTCCCTTACCTCTCATATCTCAGTCACAGGTGAGTCTCCTCCGAGCCTCTCCAAAGAGCTGACCAACTCTCTGGCTGGTGTTGGAGATGTCAGCTTCGACACAGACTCTCAGTTTCCTCTGGACGAGCTGAAGATCGACCCGCTCACCCTGGACGGACTGCACATGCTCAACGACCCCGACATGGTGCTCGCCGACCCTGCCACCGAGGACACGTTCAGGATGGACAGGCTGTAACGTTAGAGGCTGACTGTGGCCAATAACAAGAAGAGGAGAAAAAAAACACACACTAACTTGTGAATGGCGAGAAACAAAGGGCAGGAAGAACCCTCTCCCTCGTTGCATGGCTGTCCAGCTGTCCGACCTCGTCCTCATCTCCGTGAAGCCCTTTGAAACGACGCGCCACCAAAAGACAGCAGGGAATAAGACATCCAGTGGCTTGCTGGGGAATGGCCTCCCTGTCCATTTGAATGAGATTGGTCGCTCAGAGCTTTCGCTAGCCTGCTGTGTTTACAGTGTACCATTACATGCCACATTTATTCCAAACGCACATTTGACCATTTTTTCCTCCACTTAAGTATTTATTTATATTTGCTCGTAGCAGGAAGCTGCTCAGACATTGGGCTAAACCGTTTCCAGTTATAACGGCTGCTGTTCAAAAAAAAGAAAAAAAAACCATCCGGTTTGCTTGTGCCTGGCGATCAGGTGAATTGGTTTTCCCATCATGTTGTAACAGCTTTCTATTTCACACTCAAAGCTTTATTTTTGACAACCAAAAGTTATTTTCATCATGTACTGTATGTTTTGATGCTTTATGTATTTATATGTTCTATTTATTTATTTGGTTAAAGATTTTATATTCTATTTCATAATTTAAATTTGATGCCAAAATGCTCTCTGTAAGCATAGTGTAAAATTGCACTGATGTAATTTGTGTCAATTTATTAATCACTAACATATTTATATATGTGTTTGTTAAGCTACTTGGTTAATGAAGGAGTGCAAAACCTCCCCATAGTTGCTCTTCGGTGTTAGATGTGCCGTTCTCCGACGGAGGCACGTGGTAGACGTCGCCATGCTGCCGCCCAACGCTTAAATCAAAGCATCGTAGTTTCCAGAAATGGATTGGTCTTACGCCACTGAAATTATTTTTTATCTGAGAAAATCATCAGGTATTTCTATTCAACTAGAATGCGCGAGAAACGCGTCCAAATTAATGTTCTGCAGGTAAAAAGCCAATACACGTTCAGACCGACGCCGTCTGTTTTTAAACCAGAGAACACTAAAATCTCAAATCTTTTGAAGTCGTCACTGTGAAATCACCTGATTTTGCCTTACATGAGTGTTCTACTGTTCTACTTAAGTGTCTAACGTGACAGCGTATTTTCGTAACTTACTGTAACATTTCGTGTATTTGAGAGGAACTTAACTTTTGATCAGTGATACTTGTGGTTCTGTTGTGTAAGGTTTGGCAAATCAATGTACTGTATTTTGTAGCGGTACAGTTTATAGCCAAATTGTCAATGTTTTTTAAAGTGGGGCAAAAAAAAACTTAAAAAAATTCCACGGATGGGTTTGAAGTATTTGAGAAGCGGTGCAATTATGGGGAGGCTTTTTCGCTCCTTAACAGGGAAGCTCTAACAAAAATGCTGCTGATCTTTGCCTCATCAATAACAAAGTACTCTACAGAGTACAGAGATTTTAACGGTCGATTGTAGGAAATAATTAAACGCCTTCAAATGGTTGTATCCATAAGATGCAATCTTACAATTTCAGAGTTTATGAATATAAGGTTATTTTTTGTCTTATTATTAAAGTGAATGGAGTACATAAAGGTTCTGTATAAGAAAGAATGAGTGTATTTATATATTTAAAGTACTTTATGCAATTTTTCTGCCAGCAACAAGATCGGCCTTGTTCTATTCAGTGTTGCAAACACCTAAAATGTTCACAACAACAGTCGAGTCAAAAAGTGTTTACGCCACAAGTTCCGTCTGAAACCGTAAATGTACTCGCATCGTCACTAACTTTGTCCATGACACACATGTCTCTTTTGCCAAAATGTAATTGTAAAAAACAATTGTGTCAAATTTAAAAAATGCACCTCTGATTTCAGACTGCTTCGGCCTTTTGTCAGAGTTTCCCTGAGAGTCGTGTGTAGGTCTGTGGGATCATGTTTGGTATATTGTAATGTTTGTGTACAGACGTGCTAATCACTTACTCACCTAAAGCGCTGTTGGGAAGAATTCCCAACCTCCCGCCTCCCCCTTCTTCTTCTTCTTCTTCTTCTTCTTCTTCCCGAAAAGGAATCACGTTTGGTTTTACTGCCCACCTCCACACTTAGTGTTTCTCAACTGCTGTGCTCCTCCATGAAAAGTTTTGTTTGCCTTCGACAGATCTGTGATTCCTATGCAAATAAGACAAAAAAAAATCCACCTCCTGATGTTTTATTGTTTGACACATTCCCGAAGTTAAGCTGGATTTATTCTTCTGAAGTGGTTTGTTGATGGAGACAGAGGCTTAGTATCTATAATTACAGCTGCATGTAGAGATGTGATCAGTCTGCTTGTGTTCTCTGTGACATGGTGCCAAAGGTTGAACATGGTAGAAATGGTTATTGAGGACAACATGGAGAGAAGAGATTCATTATCATCTCCTCTTGGAAGTAGCTTGATATATTTATATTGTGATCATGTGGCACCAGTCCAGTGCTGACTGTCTGTCCACCATGATTGTATGGTGTTTTTTTATCTTTGTTCAAGAGCGAGGTCTTTTAGTTTGAGAGCAGAACTTTTTGATTTTACCGTCAGATTTTCTCCCCCTGCTTGTGCTTGGATTTCAGTCACTGGACAAATTAGTCTTTTGAGATGAAGCTGCAGCTTCTTGGATCAAATTAAATTCTGAAAAGACATAGACTTGATCGGTGGGAGGATACTGGCTGCAGGATGTGAAGTTTTTGCAGTGGTGCTATGACAATCAAATGAAATAGTTTGCAGAACTATGAATTTATACAGAGAAGCATAAATCCAGCTTTGCTTAGAAATTCTTTTATATATATTTTTTTCTAAATTGCTCACCCTGCCTTTGTTTTTCTTGAATCACTTGTCGAGAATCTCGACATCCACCTTCACACAAACTGCATCTCTGCCTCTTCTACAGTAAATTACTTCTATGTGACTGTTGCTCTTAGAGAAAACAAATCGTCTCGCTTTCTCCCTATTCCTAAAGGAACAAAACCTGACAGAAGGTTCTCGTTCGATGAAACGTTTAACTGTAGTTACTGAAAATATCTGGCAGTCACGAGCCAGGTAGTGAAAAAAAAGCCACTAAAACGAAACCCCCAGAAATGCACAACATTTTACCAGGAGCTGATTTTCTTTATCTACAGTCGGATTTTTCCTCAAAGTTCTTTGTTACTAAAAAAATTGTCATGTTTTATCTTTCAGCCAGATGTCACTGATGCATTGTGGGTAATGCCAGTGCTTGGAGCTCTCCTGTCATTTCCTTTTCTCTCATCCTGCTGAATAACAGCCATCCACACTGACCTTGTACATACGCTATAGCTGAAACTAAATGCATGACTATACTGACAGACAGAACCTCCAGAACGTTCTCTTGCCCCACAGGTTTGATTTGTGGAAGCGATCACAGTCTAGAGGGATGCATGTATGGGTTTCTCCTGTGCGACAAGTTTTATCTTCTGTTAAAGTGACTCTGTTACCTCCATCTCTGTATAATGGTTCTTCACGAATGATAAAAGAATGTATACTCTCCGTCCTATAGTTTCAGCCTGTTGCCAAATGACCCCGACCTTTGGAGTGTTTTGGCCCCTGGTGGCTTCTCTCTCTCTCTCTCTCTCTCTCTCTCTCTCTCTCTCTCTCTCTCTCTCTCTCTTCTCCTCTCCCTCTTTCTGCTCTTCAATCTTCTCCTCCCGACTGTTACTCGTTCCTACACCTACTGTAGCATTTGTGTGCCAGTCACTGTAAATGGTCAATTCTGGTATGAAAAAGAGCCTCCTCCCTCTCCCCCTCCTCCGGCCTCCTCTGTGCACTACCTAGAAAATGGAAGCGGGTGACGTCTGATTCCAGATTGGCACGGCGCACTGGTCGTTTGCATACGCTGACCTGAATATTCTGACGCCTCTGCATTACGCAGTCTACTGCATGACATGATAGACACATAAAGAAGATTCTAACCCCATGTTCTGTACAGGACTTATCTGAAGTGGCGTGTGTCTTCATCAGATCTGATTGTTTAATGTCGTTGCCTATCATGTCAGGTTCTGGACTGGGTGAAGTGTAATTCTGTTCTGTTTTTGTTTTTTGTGCAATGGTTTATCCACTAGTTGCTTGGCACTTTATTTGTGGCTTCCTGGCTATTGAGCAGGGACTGTTCTGCCCGATGTGAATGCTGACTCTTTCACTACAGATGTGTACACCGGAGATATTTTCATGTCAAAGAAAAGATGAATTCTCTATTTTCCTTTGTAAACTATATTTTGGCTTGTCTTGTTATTTTTGTTTTTTAATCCGTGAAGATTTTAGGAGATGCAACACTAAAAAGGGCTTACTCCAGGGCAGCTTGCGCGCTCGTGTTGGGAAGGAACGGCGCTCCGAATGTATTTCTCTGGTGGTCACCCCCCCCCCCCCCACATCTGAGCGAGTCACGTAAAACGACCCTATTGCAGTGGTTAGTTTCAGCCTCAGAAAGACTCGACACACATGCTGCCTCCCAGTCTCAGCTCCTGAAGTTATCCAGACCCTAAAAGGAATGTGTGATTCCATCAAAAGTCAAACGTGCAGTTCTACTGCAGAACACCATAATCTACCAGATGTTTACAGCTGCTACAAACATGGTGGATAAAGCTTGGTGAGCTGCAAGATGTGTGAAGGTCGCTAAGTTAGAAACTAAGAAATGAAGAGATGACATTTGAGACAAAGGCGTTTCACTCGTCACAGAGTGAACAGCAAAGGTTAAGAGTTGGATTTAAGCAGCTTATTAAAGTTAGAGCTAGAATGTCACTCAGTGAACACATACTGTACCTCCGCCAAGGCCCCACAGTCTCCTCAGGGAACCATTTTGACATTCACTAGATCTGGAATTCTATTTGGATCTGCACCAAATTACACTCACACATAAATGTCATTCCCCTCAACATGTCTGGTTTTATTTCATCAAGATCCATGAATTATTCTCTGACAAATCAACTAAAACATCCGCCCGCTGATCCAAGTCTGCAACAACATTTAACGGATTCTTCCCTGGGTTGTTTCCCACTCCTCCACAAAATTTCATGGAAATCCGTTGAGGGTTTTTTAGTGTAATCCTGTCGACAAAGGAACAAACAAATGTAGGTGTAAACTTAAGCTTGGCGGAGGTAGAAAAATAAATTTAAAAAAAGTTAGTTTGAAGGGGAAAAGAAATGTTACGTGTTCTCACATGTAGAGTTTGACTTTCCATTTATACACATTGCATTAGTGTCACTAAATCTAGTGAGTCTGAAACTAAACACTGAATTGTAAACTTCTGGCCAACGAACTAAAACTGGAGGTCAAATTTTCAAACACGAGAAAGACGGATCACCTCAAATCATCTTCTACGTCTCGTAAATCATTGACTTTTCACTCACCTGCTTCTTTTAGGTTAAGACTCCTTCTTGGCACAGCCCGTGTTTCCGTTGTGTGAAAGAGCCTTGAATCTAAATCTGGAAAAGCAGATGAGTGAAGCTCCAACAGGCGTCCTGTGTTTCCTGGGTCCCAAGAACAAAAGCTTAGAGTTGCTGCTCAGTTGTTTCTGCTTTTTCCCTGAGAGCTTTAGATCTGAATAACGTGTCCCTTTAATAACCTGGGGTTTTCTAACCACAATTCTTAGAAACGTGTAAAAGGTTATGGAAAAAAACACAGTTTAAGTTCCACTTCAAGCTTATAGTGAGAATAGCATTATAATCACTGTTGTCCTGTAAGTCGTAGTAAAAAGACCTGTAGTTATTTATTTGTTGCCGTGATTCTCCTTATGTGACCATTTGTTTATAAGAGGAAAGAAAAATGTCAATTAAATTGAATGTGGAAAAACAGATTTTTCTCTGCACATAGTCTTGATTTGCAGAATAATGTCAATTTAAAAAACAAACAAATAAAAAAACTGTCCGGTGTCATTTTACAACATGGCAGCAGCGTGTTGCTGTGGACATGCATGATGTTTCGATCCTGTTGTATATTGTCTTTGCTATCGTTTCTATTTTGTAATCTGTATTTCCAAATGCAAAATTTAAAAGATTATTTTGGATATGTGCATGCTTGTGAAATGTGCAGAATGTTGATTTCCACTAAAAGCTGTTGAGTTTGAAAAAAAAAGGTCACGTCTGTTAAAGTCAATTATTTTTCCTTGTTATATGATAGGAATTAATCTATGTTAAATAATATATATTACTTAATTTATGGAGTGCTTACTATACTTTACCATACTTGTACTTACTAATACCCAAAGACGTTTTCTTTTCATTTTTTGGCATTTCAAAGCTACCTCTCAAATTGATCATTTCGCAATTGATTTGAATGCTAATATTCTATGATTACCGATCAGAGATTAAAATCTGTATATTTGAATACAAACAATCACCAGTGCTGCCGACCCTAGAACAGCTCTCAGTAGAGAACAAACTTTGACAGAGAACAGTGACACTAATTCTGCACACACTGCTAAATATCAGTCCCCTAAACATGCCTGATTAAAAAAAAAAAAATCAAGATCCATGAATGATTCTAATCAAATCAATAGTCTAATCAACAAAAAGAAAAACAATGTTAAAGACGGTAAAAAAACAAACAACAGAATCTGTCCCCTGATCCGGATACACACCAACATTTAATCGGTTCTTACTTGGTTCATGTTATAAAATTGCATGGAGGTCGGTTGAGTAGTTTTTGCATAATCCTGCCAACAGTCAATGGAGGGTAAAAGTAGTTAAAATACAGATACTGCACATAATTTAGTAAAATCCACTTTTATTTGTTTAATCTTTGTGATAGCTCTTCTTCAGGAAGAATACACTGACAGTTATAAAAATATACTTAATGATATTTAGTTGCAACATTATTTCAGACACATTTCTATAGAAAACCAATGAATTTCTGTTGAACATTTGATCACTCTAGTTCCCTCTGAGGAGTTTTCACAGCTGCAGAGTTTCTTCTCCTCCATCACGAGTCTTTTCATCTCCCTTCAGACACGTTTCTCTGACTTTTGTTAAACATCAGTCTTCTTTCTTCGACTGTGCAGTGGAGAGTTCCCTGAATTCCCGGGTCTTGTCCTCCTGTCTCATCAGGCCTCCAGCTGGACCTGCTGAGCTCTGTAGGTGTCAAAGTCCTCAGGAAGAGTATCTGAAGCAAAATGACGACAAGAAGGTTAGTTCAGTGTCTGAGCAGCCGACTGGAATATTTTCAACATGGAGCTGGAACATTACTTAAAGGTTCAGTGTGTAAGATTCAGGTGAAAGGAATCTATTGGCAGAAGTTGAATATAAAATAATCCTAGTGATGTTTTCACCAGTGTTTTTCATCTAAATTGTATCAATTGTTGTTTTATTCGTCCTAGAATGGGTCTTTATGTTTAAATACTTTATATTTAAATCTGGAGTGGGTCCTCATATGGAAGCCACCATGTTTTTTTTTACAGTAGTCCAGACTGGACGAACTCATTTTGAATTTTTAGGACAACTGATGGTACCATAGGTTCTCTTAATTTTTTGAGGGGGAGGGGGAGGTGAGGGGTAGATGTCACTGAATTTTACACATTGAACCTTTAACATCTAAGGCTGCATTCAAACCTGTCTTTTTCACTTATATTGGGCTTTTCCAGCAAACAAGAGTATTTTGTTAATGTTTTATTTATGTTTTTACACATTTAGTTCATATTTGACTGTGAATGGATTTGTATTGATGGAAGCTTAAAGATGAAAAAAAAAAACCTACATACTACTACAACATTAATTCTCAGTTAAAATCGACTCAAATTTAGTACTTAACTAGTAAATATTTTCTTGAAATGCACAAAATCAAATATGAGTAGCTGTAAAAGATGTTAAAAGACGAGAGTAGTAGTTTCTGGCCACAGTCGATCCTCTGACGCTCAACTCACCGTTGCAGCGATAACGCAGGTTGGCCCAGATGATGTTCTCCTGCGAGAAACAGAAGACTCCAAGTCGGCCTCCTCTCATCGTTGCGTCGATGATGACGCCCGTGTCGGCCACCATCTGAGGACCCTCGTAGAAACGAACTCTGGCAACATCACACATTGAAGAATACAGTTGTGATTTTTACGCTATTGTGTCTGTAAACAAGACCATCTACAAACAGCTTCAGTATCAGTTTCTTTTTCTCTTTGGTAGCAGTTAGCAGTTTGTCTTTGTGCTAAGCTAAGCTTAACAACCAAACCACAGACTGTATATAAAGATGGACGCTGTGTCCACTTCCTCCAACTATCCAGAACTGAAGAGTATACCAGATATGAAGTCTACATAGTAACGGTTCCCAAACTTAGAGGAAAACTTACATCGACCACACGAACATCAGTGTGATTAAAAATGACTTAAAATGACGTAAACCATCTTAAAGAACAATTCTGTTACGAGTACCTTGATTTTTTTAGCTTGGACCATATCCCATCTCTTAACATAGAGGAGGCGGCAGCCTATACTGCAGCCAGCCACAAGGGGTCAATTGAGACTCTTTGGCTTCATTTTTGGGGAGCCATCATATTGTCCATGTTAAATACAGTCTGTGGACCAAACCATAAAAGCACATTTCCCTAAACGTCAGTACCTGATGTATCCGTCAGCGGGCCGGTGTTGGAGGAACCAGCGGTACGAAGTCTTGTCCTTCCAGCCGACATTACGAGCATCTTTCCACAGGAGTTTGACCTGGTCGCTGGTGTCACCGGTGTGCCACAGGGCGTTCCTCAAGTTCTCACCTGGACCCGTGTTTGACTTCACTGCCTTTTTTAAAACCACAGATGACAAAGTCTGAGTCTCTGGACGAAGTGATTCCTTGACTCTTTGATCACAGCAGATCATTATGTTTGTCTTGGCAGCTCTTCATTTGTTCAAATCTTTAGGAAACATGGATTCTTGTGAACTTTAAACACGTGCAATCAGTTTATATGCAAAGTCCTCGGCTAACAGGACTCTAACCCAAACAAAGGTATGATGTCCTGCTGTAGAGCCTCTGACTCTGATACAGTGATACAGTAATTTAGTCCCAAGGAATAATGAATAAAGGTTTTACCTTCAGTTGGATGCCAGGTTCTGCCACAGCTCTGAACGGGTTCGCCTGCCAATAGATCTGCTCCACTTGCTTCCACATCACCACGTAGAAACTAGAGCTGTCCTGGTAGCCGAAGATAAATCCTGCGTAGTCGTCGTCTGTGACCGTATTTACATGAAATGTCCCTTCAAAGTCCACACCGCTGAAAGCAGTGTAACCTGGGAGATAAAATGTTGCACACATGTGTTACTACGTATCTTGATGGACCAACAGCTACTGTGGAGTTGATACTTTTCATAGAAAGATTGTTTAATGGCCTGAAAGCTATAATTATCCAAAATATAATATCTATTCTTTTAAATGAACGATACAATGTTCTTACCAACAGCCAACCCAGGATCACTGTTCATTGTCTGGACTATCTCTCGTCCCTGCACAAAAAAAAACATGTTTGGATTTACTCAGATGAAGAATTATTTTGGGACACAAAATTGAAATACAAAAATTAAAAGAAAAACTAATTACTCAACCTGGTTCAGCACAACCCAGTTGGGGTCAATCTGTGCATCTCCCTCTGGATCTAAAACGACGGTCTGGTACTCTCTGAAGTCTGTGAGGGTGACCTCAGCATTTTCTGGACAAACATCAATGGTGTCGACAATGGTGTCGTTGTCAAAGTCCTTTTCACATACGTTACCCACACCATTGCCTGAGAAGATAAATAAAAAAAATAAAGAGTTGTAAAATGTCTTAGAGTTAGAGAATATGAAAAGAATTTGTACGTCAAAGTGTCAGGAGAGGAACCCACCATCAGAGTCCTCCTGCAGAGGGTTAGGGATCAGGCGGCAGTTATCAGGACCGGGTGGCAGCAGGTCAGGGATGCCATCGTTGTCGTCATCGTCGTCACACTCGTCTCCCTTGCCGTCTTTGTCAGTGTCGAGCTGAGAGCTGTTGATGACAGCTGGGCAGTTGTCCCGAGAGTCCTGGTGGCCATCACCGTCACTGGATCGAGGAAAGTTTGGTTTTATTGGCATGTGCAGATTTTTATTTCTCGTAACCCAAAGAAATATCTTTGATGCGACTGATTAGCTCACCTGTCCTTGTTGGTGTCGCAAGGGTCTCCGATCAGATCGTTATCTGCGTCCATCTGAGAAAGATGATATCAGTTATTGTTAAGATGAAACTGAACAAGGTCCATCACAGCTTTAAGATTATGAGCCCAGCTATGATCCACAAGACAAGGTTGATTAACACAAGTATGGAAGAAGTATGGAAAGCCAAACAGTCCAAAAACATGTGATTTTGAAACATGCAAACTAAATGTAAACAACATCTATCTATGTGTTGTCGGGCTTTCCATAAACAAGAGACGCTGACCTGGTCGGGGTTGGGAATATAAGGACAACTGTCGCAGGCGTCTCCCACTTTGTCTCCATCTCGATCTTTCTGGTCGGCGTTGGGAACCCGTTTGCAGTTATCCTGGTGATTGAGGATTCCTGAAAATAAGATGGTGATTCGTGAATATTCAGTCCATGATTTTTTACACTATAATTTTACATATGTAATAAATATAATATCAGTGAAGAAAAAAGGCCTATTCCAACCATCAGAATTCTGGATTTTCAATAATGAATGAATGACTCAAATAACTTCATGATGTCTATGGCTCACTCACCGTCGCCATCAATATCTTCATCACACTCGTCACCAAATTTGTCCACATCTGTGTCTTTTTGGTCGTTGTTTTTCACAGCACGGCAGTTGTCACAGGCGTCGCCGAAGTCGTCCTCATCGATGTTCCTCTGATCCACGTTGGGCACCAACACACAGTTATCCTGCAACAAAGGTGTTTTAGTCTCTGCAAGTGACTTTAAATCTGTC